ATGAATTATTTGTAAAAAAATAATTTTATATTAACTTTCTGCCTCTACTCTAAAGCAAGGCTCTGGATTATTAATATTGGATCATTTAATTAATTAAATGCTGAATTATTCGATCCTTTTTGTTTGGTAACCATTTTTTCTTCCCTTCCTCCTCTCCTAATTTTTCAACGCATGTGTTACCAGAATTAGATTTGGATGCTCTTTTGGCCGAATTTAATTAATTCCAAAATTCTTAATTTTTATTATTATAATATTTTATTTCTATTTTTATAATCTTATTATTAACATATATAAAAGAATAAAAGGTTGCTGTGTTACGGTGCCGTACTAAATGTCGTAATTTTTGTGTAGATTTTTTATATTTTGTGTAATATTTCCCCTTTTTTTGTATGCTTCCCTAATCTAACGACTTTACCCAATTTTGAAATGTTTGGTTGCACGGGAAATAATTCATTTTTTAAAGAATATTCTATTCTGTTCAGTTCAGTTACAATACGAATCAGTATGAATCAGCACAAATATTCTAAACGTCCTGTTTCTCAACTTTGGTAGACTGAAGTTTTGGGGAAGGATGAGATCAAAATCAAAGGGTAAAACTTTGTTTTTTTTTCTTTGCTGTGCTGGCTTGAAATGATTTGCAAATTGATTTGAAATTTGTTAATTAATAAATAGAATTGAAATTTGAACAGAAATATTTTCGTTTTCCAAAAAATGATAAGTGGTTGTGGTTATTTTACGTCACATATCGTGTGAATCCCAATTGTTATCTGTTTGTCATGATTTGTGAAACTGAAAAACTTATCTGTTTTGGTTCAAATGTCAGGGTTGAGCAAAACAGATATTTGACCAAAAGGAAATCGTGTTTTCGCTTTAGATGTTTTTTGCGTGGTGTCGACTGCTGTTTACCACTAGGTCTTAGTCTTGCTCTGGTGTTTCGGACTGTTCAAAATGTCCAAAAACTGATGGTCTTGTCTTGGAACCTTTACCTTGGATTGTCAAAGGCTTGTTGCACAATGTGTTAGTGATATTTTCTGGTCATGAGACCAGGGTTCAAAAACGTTTTATTTCATTTTGTCAATTTAAAAAAAAATGATCGATAAACAAAACAATATGTGCAAAATTTTTTTGGTTGTTCGTGTTGAATTAAAATTTTTTTTTTGGATTTTGACCATTTGGGAGAGATAGTGGGTGATCTGGATAAGAAAAAACTTTGATTTTGACCATTTGAAGGATAGTGGATGATCTGATTTCCT